CTGTGCTGGTCGAACTCTCTGCTTCTGGGTATAAAGGATCCCCAGACGAGGCTATGTCGTAGGGCAGTCTCTTCCTGGGAAGCAGCTACCCGACCCCGTTTTAAACGGTGAATTTTTGGCCGAGCCTACGGGCTAGGATACCCCACCTTATATTCGGCCTTGTCCCGCATCTGACCGCGTGGGGCGGCTGGTAGATATCCTTGCTTCGGGAATTATTAGCCTGCCACCTGATTCACTGTTTTTCAGTAGTGTATTCTCTTTTCTTTCATCTATGCGCTTGTTGCTGTTCCTTCACTCGAGTTCCACCTTTGTCTATTTGTAACCTCTTTAATTGGATTTCTGTCGTATACACATTTCCTTCCGGGTTTCAGCTAGAGACCTAATATCAGAAATGACTTCATGACATCTAACTCTGATCGTTTTGTATATAAGCTTAAATAAGATTACACACATTTTCATAGATAAAGCTCTTTGTAATGTGTGAGCTCTAATTGTGAATACTATTTTGTGTATTTCTTTAGGGCATTAGCTACCAGGAAACGCTTCACTGAGTCTATCGGACCCTTTTCTAATCAATCCAAGGACACGAACTGCATCTGGAATTATTGATGTCATCATGAGCCACATTTTGTAGATTTTCACTTCAAGATCCTTATTGTTATTATGATTATTATTGTTGTTGTTATTATTATTATCATTATTTACATAAATGCTAAAATTATGTAAGTTTATCTAAGATCTATAATTAGCGACACATAATAACTAATGACGTCTGCCATTTTTCTTTTAAACTGCCATTTCATGGCGACTATTAGATGCTGTAGTCGTTCCTGTGCTGTCCATAGCAGCGTGTTGTTTGTTAAGCGTTTCTACTGGGAATTTAGCGATGTTTGCACCATATCTCATACATGCTCAGCGGAGATAAAATCTGACAAGCGCTTTTGACCATGTCACCACCGTCGGGAATCTCGTCGTGCATAAAGAGGTGCAAATGAACTGCCACAAGATCTTTTACACCTGTCAAAACAAGTCCCCTTTTCACTCATTATATATTACGAATTCTAACATAGTACAACTCACCTTTACAGAGCCACTCCCAGATTTTGCAAAATCCCGTCAGCAGGTTGAATCTATAGCCACATGATGTGTCATTAATTAAAATACAACCGATGCAATAAACAATTTTTTTTGTTTCATGCCGTTTCAAATACAGGGTCACTTCTCCCGTAAATAATTATGGTTATAAAAGTATAATACAATACAGTGGGTATGTTTAAGTCAAGACAGTTTGATGAAGTCGATCTCTCTTGAGACTGGTTTGGAATTCCGAGTTTGTATTCTTCAATTCTAAAGCCTAATCTGTCCAATTATTTACGAAGTATTTATTTCAGAGGTTTCTTTTTTCTCGACTGGCTGCCATTCAAGGCGAGAGTATGTCTTTCTATTTAAATCATAGCTGCAAGAGGATAAATTCGTGCCTTTTCCAAGGGCATTAGCACGAAGTGAACGAAGCAAAATCGGTTAGAAGCTTAATGCTATACGGCCACGTTCAAAAGTAAAAAAAGAAACAAATTTAACTGAATTTCAAATTTTCATTATCGTTTCCATGCCAGTAACACTTATAATCATCTGATTTCCATATTATCTCTCGCCGTTTTCGATGCATGACAGCGAAACATTTGTTATCATTGTCTCCCCGTTTTGTGCACCTGCAGTCTGATGCTAATCCAACACTGTGTCCTGGGCACGAGGATAGACTACATCCGGCAGCAAGGCCTCTGATCTGGAGGTTTTGAGGAGTGTAGAACCACCGCTTAATTGTTGTTGTTCCCGGTTCCATCTTGACCCGGATGGTAGCACCTGTTACGGTCCCAGGTATGGGTAAATAGTTAACTCTCAAACTGGGTTCAAAAACCTATGAAAGTATAAAAATAGACTTTTATAATAAAAATACAAGCAATGCATTTAAAAAAAGAAAGATTACCAACAACACCTATTGATAGTAAAATTACCAACAACATTTTATCTGTAATTAAAGTCATACAAATGTATTCAAAATATTTAGATTTCGGAATTAAACAACCCATACAGGTTGATATGCCGCTAAATAAAATCAATCAAACAACCAACATGAAAGAACATTTTCATGACATGAATCCATATAATAACCTACAATTTTATTAAAGAAATGAAACTGTATTCCAAAACTTAACCACGACATAAAACACATATCACCGCCCCTGGTAATTATGTCCACCCAAACATGTATATGCACAAAAGCTCAGATTTATCTACCATGTAATCAATTGTGAAAGCAGAATAACATATATCATAACTATTTTACTTCAACGCTCCCAATAAAATTAAATTTTGGCATTAAATAACCCATGAGGAGTTGATGTCGTTAACCCAACAAATCAATCAATAAATCAACCGCTTTATATATATATATATATATATATATATATATATATATATATATATATATATATATATATATTGTCATCAAAGACTTACTGTTTCGCTGTATCACAGCTCATCGGTGTGACTAGACATCTGATTTCCTAAAACTGGGGACCAAAAACCCGACTGATTTGGCAATAGTCGGAGATATTACTCCAGAGCTATCAGCGCTTGATGGAACGGAAGGCGGATTTTTACGTACTTATTCTTCGAATAATCACGCCAATAATCGAGAGGGCTTCATTCATGAAAGAGTTTTGCAATATTAGCAGTAGTAGTGATTGTTTATAAATTCGCGCTTTCTTTCCAGAGTGCTCGACCAGAATAAAATTTTTCCGGGGGTATATATATATAATTAAATTATACTCTCTCTCTCTCTCTATATATATATATATATATATATATATATATATATATATATATATATATATATATATTATTACATTTTTCCCTAATTTTAAGGCATTGTTAAATTTTGAAATATGCACATAGATAAATATTTTGGAATGGGGTAAATTTGCTTCAAGCGAAAATTAAATAAGCTGACAATGTTTACCCTGAAGACGATTACATATTCTGAAAATTATTCGAAGAGTTCTAAACTAAAACACAACTTAAGAGTCCATATACATTCACTTCTAATAATGTCTTCCATGTTTTTAGCATTATTTTCATGTTCCTCACTTGTCGAATCTTATAATTCTATCAGACTACTTTAAGAGTTTGAAGTTTTGCTTTCACAGAAAAATATAGAGAAATTCCCTGATGAAAAAAAATTGTAAAAATAAGTATCAATTTTCGGAATCTTTGGAACGCTTCACGAAAGCCAAAGGTAATATCTTCCCAAGCACTAGCAGCCAAAATTTTTATTCGCGAGACCATTATTGGTAGGATCCAGAAACATCCAGCAGTTGGACTCCTGCCGAAGAATGGCTGTGTAAATGTGTATTCCAGGCGGGATATCGGATATTATAATACTCCCAGGAACCGTAGTTGATTCTCCCTAGCTTACGATTCAGACTGGAATCATAGTCAGGAGAAGGAATTGAGGGCAACAATCCGCTTCACATTCTTGAACCAATCAACGCCAACCATTCAAACGCTTGGATCGACAACAACCCATGAAATAAGGGAAAAACAACAGATTACAAGTTTGCTGGGAAGGCGTCAACTTATATCGGCGAATAGTGAAACGGACCTTTTGCTACCAGTTCCTTCCGCTGACGAAAACTGTATACAGAAACTTGGAAATTTTTGTTAAAAATCATTTTTTTTCAGGCGTCATCTTTTGACCATAAATTTGTACGGAGAATTCGAGTGTCTTTTTGCGGGGAAAATCACATTAGTCTTGAAAATTTTGCAACAATCAGATAATTATTGGATTTTTAATGAAACTTTCAGAACTTATTCAGAAATAAATTAAGCTATTATAGATTTTTTTTTTTAGAAGAACTGCACATATTTTTTTGCATCTGTTACCTCCCACTCATTTAATTTTATGAAATTTCGAGAAATTAATTTTTGTATCGTTTCATGTTTATATTAGTTATAAACCCAAGCCTTCGGAAAATTTAAATGATCATTTTTTTTCTTCAAAGGGCACAGCCAGTGACAGAAAACCTGCTCTAAATCATGAAATGAAAAATGTAATAACACTAAAATATTTAATTAGAAGATCTATTAATTACTATTATGTATAAAATATATTTTATGAATATTATAGGCTTAACAAAAAAAATTAGATGAATAATGAATTTTTACAATAATTTTTTTTCATTTTTAATTAAAATAATTTATAAACTTTTAAATCTTTTAAAAATATGTTTTAATTTGTAGTAGTCAATTGATATTATTATTAAATTAAAACTGTGTTTACTAATCAGAAATAGAAAAGCTCACTAAAATTCAGTGAATGGCAGTATTTTAAAAAGAACTTAGAATTTATTTTATGTGTATAGAAATGCATCATTTTTGTCAAATACCGATGTCCATACACGACAGTATCACAACGTAAGAGCGGTAACTATATTAAATTTAAAAGTTATTGATAATTTTCTAACATTTTCTCAACAAGCATCTTTTTAAGTATGAGTTTTAAGGTAAAGTAGCTAAAATTGAATAATGTATTAGAATGATTAAAATGTGTTTAATTTTGTAAGAATTCACGGTGGTTAAAAAAATATTTTTAAAAGGCGTTTACGTTGTATTTGTCATGCAGTTTATTAGAATTATCTTTTCTTTACTTAACTTTCTCACAAACATCTTGCTGTCAATAGATGTGTCAACACGTTATATAAAAAATCACCTCCGTGTTTCAATATGCTTTTCTGAGGTATTTTAAACTCAAAGTAAGTAACGTTTCTTTTAATTCGGATTAACTGAACTTTAAAATGTTCTCAAATAATGTTTTGGAAAAGTGTATTTTGGAGGATTTTATTGATTATATTGACTTTAATAATAATCAAAAAATCAGCCGATCAATTTAAATTCGGTCTGAAAGTCAGCAAATTATATTTGCTTATTGAAAATATTAAATTTTAATATAGATAGATAGACTGACATAGGGTGATATGTAGAGCAACAGATTGAGAGACAGATGTGCACATATTGAGATAGATAGATAGATAGATAGATAGATAGATAGATAGATAGATAAACAGACTGAGATAGATAGATAGATAGATAGATAGATAGATAGATAGATAGATAGATAGTGTGTGTCTGTGATCTTCCAAACGAAGATAGATAGATAGATAGATAGATAGATAGATAGATAGATAGATAGATAGTGTTGTTAATAGACTCTCCCACCTATAATAAGTAGGAGTAGTAGCAGTCGCGAAGTCGCAGTGAGTTGGTCAGTCAGTCGATGCCGGACGACCGTTAGTCGGATATTAAAATATCAGCCACCACAACTAGATTACTGCGTCATTACCTATTATATCAAGTTCCTAACGTTTTGTACGTCGAACCTATTTTAGGACCGACTTAGTGAAATACAAGCCTCCACTGTGAAACTACTCTACAACAACTTGGCGACGAGGGATTCGAACTCATACGGAGGAAGAAAAACTTTTCGTACACTATAACAGATAGATAGATAGATAGATAGATAGATAGATAGATAGATACATAGATAGATGTGTATGTGTATGTATATTTAGATACATCCACAGATAAATTTTAGTGAGCATGTATATGTGTACATATATGTATAATTATACAAAAAGTGTCTAATATGTGCATATATTTTTTATGTATGTATATACATGTATATGCAAGTATAGTATAGTATGTATAGCATATCTATATATGGCCACTAGTATTCGAGAATACCCGTCGACTAAGGCGGCTAGCCAATAACTATTTTAGACGCTCTGTGGGTGTTTATTCAACACCCACAGAGCCCACCTGTGGTTTATACAACAACTACGCCGAGAAGACCTTACCTAAAGTTTCTGGGAGAGAGCGTGTTATCTAGCGTGATCAACAATTTGCACAAGCCCAGTACGCTCATGCCTTCGGTTACGATGACTTGTGGCTTCATGCTAGCACAGCTGTCGACGGCCCACAAAGTTCCATTTACCCAATTTCACTATAATGCTTTGGGTCAACCCGTGGTAAGGCTTTTCAGGCACTTTCTATAGGAGGTGCCGCACGCCGGGGTCGACCTCGATCTAGTCTGATAGCATCGGGAAGTCGCCTTCTTCACAACTCGACCATGGTGAGATTCAAACCCGTGCCTCAGGGTCAGAAAGCGAATAAAAAAAAGCACTCACTAAGTTTCATTGGACTGAATTAAAATCCAACATCAAACGCCCTCTGATATAGATAAAACAAAGAAACGAACAAGTAAGCAGACACTCTTTTGAATCTGGACATTTGAGATGATAATCTAATCTAATTGAATTTGATAAATAGTTACTACTTATCCTCAGAGTACCCAAGGCATTTTTCACACATTTCTCTTTTTTTCATTATACCCCGTGGAAGCCAAAGAGAGGAGACGCTCTCGGCCAAACGCAGCATTGATAGATTTTTCACATTCTCTACTCATCATCGTTTTTATTTTGGATACTATTATACACCCTAAAAGCATGCACATAGATAGATAGATAGATAGATAGATAGATAGATAGATAGATAGATAGATAGAAAAAAACATGAAAAAAATAGATAGAAAAAGATAGATAGATAGATAGATAGATAGATTGATTGAAAAAGATATGATAAACTTAGATAGATAGATAGATAGATAGATAGATAGATAGATAGATAGTGACAAATTGAAAAACAAAAACTGATATAGATAGATAGATAGATAGATAGATATTAATAGATTGAAAAAGATGAAAAACTGAGATAGATAGATAGATAGATAGATAGATAGATAGTGACAGATTGAAAAACATAAAAACTGAAATAGATAGATAGATAGATAGATAGATAGATAGATAGATAGATTGAAAAAATGTGAAAAACTTAGATATTAACAGATTGAAAAACATGAAAAACTGAGATAGTTAGTGTTTAAACTTGAATAAAGCATGGAATAATAATAATACAACACAAAATGTACTTAAACAAAATGTATTGACAGAAGAACGTGTACACAATATTTACAGATAGTTTTGGTATATTCTTGGGAAGACCGTTCCTGTAGAATGGGTTGACTTTAGTCGCAGTCGGGCAGAGTCTCTGGATTGGATCTCTTCTTCCTCCCCCGTCTTCCCGGTACCAACCCATATTTATATGGTCGGTACTCCACTATGTAAATTAGGTGGATCGTACCACAATAGATAGATAGATAGATAGATAGATAGTGACAGATTGAAAAACATAAAAACTGAAATAGATAGATAGATAGATATTAACAGATAGAAAACATGAAAAACTGAGATAGATAGATAGATAGATAGATAGATAGATAGATTGAAAAAGATATGAAAAACTTAGATAGATAGATAGATAGATAGATAGATAGATAGATAGATAGATAGTGACAGATTGTAAAACAAAAACTGAGGTAGATTGATATTAATAGATTGAAAAACATGAAAAACTGAGATAGATAGATAGATAGATAGATAGATAGATAGTGACAGATTGAAAAACATAAAAACTGAAATAGATAGATAGATAGATAGATAGATAGATAGATAGATAGATAGATAGATAGATTGAAAAAATATGAAAAACTTAGATATTAACAGATTGAAAAACATGAAAAACTGAGATAGATAGATAGATATTAACAGATTGAAAAACAAAAACTGAAATAGATAGATAGATAGATAGATAGATAGATAGATAGAAAGAAAAAGATATGAAAAGCATAGACAGAAAATTTGGGCAGAATGTCAGTTTCAGAAATTTTCTTAGTCAGGAATTATCACGTAACAGCTTCTGCAACTATCACGGCAATAGTTTCAGGAAAAACTCTTCTGCCTCTATGTATGTATGTATAAGTGCCTTCATGTACACTACAGTCAAAAATTTTGGCGAATTTCCTGCGTTTCTTAGAAAAAGACACCTTAAAATATATTTTGTATGTGTTTTTAAGTAAAAGATAAAATTTCAATAACTACATGGTATTGGCTTTTATTTTTCAATCTTTATCCAGGATTCTCTAACTACACAAAAGTCGATTCACCTGTCCACAATACATTTTGTTAAATTATGAATAGTTTGTATGAGAATCATTATATTTTATTTTTACCATTAAACTTTCAGTACACGTCTTGAGATTACTAATACAGCTGGAAATTTTATCCAGGTGGAGGTAATCATGAAAAAAAGAACAATACCCTTCGATTTTGCAAAGACATGCTATACTACCTGCTTTAAGCATAATTCAGCTTTCAGAAACTTAACAATCCAAATTCTTCTAAATTACATCAAAATTACCTCGATCAAAAAAGAAAAAATAATTTTGGAAATTATCACTTGGACGCCTTAATCTCCTGACATCTCACCCATTGAATAATATGGGATAAACTGGATCGGAGAGTTCGGTGAGAATACCCAGAGAGTGAGAGTGAGTTTTTTTTACAGCTTGAAGAATACTCGGGAAGGTCAGACGTCTAATTTTTTTCAAAAACTGTTGGAAAGAAGGTCAAGAATTTATAAGGCAGTAATTATGGGAGGTTTAGGTTTTATTATCGGATTCAAATATAATGCTTGTTGTATGATAATTTTGTTAAAGTTAACTGTTTATTTTTTATCAAAATAAAAGCAAATACAATATAGTTAATGAAACTTTCTCTTTTACTTAAAAAAATCCAAAAGTATATCACTTTATGGCATTCTATTAAAGAAATGCAAACTTTTTGCCTGGAGTGTACCCAAATTTCTTTGTCGCCCTAAACATACCCACAGACACTCACACTCACAATATATATATATATATATATATATATATATATATATATATATATATATATATATCAGCAACTGAACCCTATATAGATATGTGTGCTTGTATGTGCGTGTATGTGTGTGTGTGTGTGTGTGTGTGTAGGCTCGTAGAAATATAAGTCAATCTTTTCGAGCTGCTTCGTGTGCAGACGGAATTTTGAAGAAATTCTCCCGGGGGCGTAATGTTCCAAGTATTAGGTTTGGGCCTCTAACGCCATCTTGCCAAGGGGATTTTTTTCCCAAAGGAAGATTTGCAGGGATAATGCTGGCAGAATATCCATAAACATTACATAGGTTATCATGTCTTATACAAACATCGACTACAATGAAGGCCTGTACATTATTATATCGATCGAAAATATATTGGAACATCTGAAAATATGCAGACGCTTTTTAGAACCGAATCGTTATTACTATTATTAAAAAAAACAAAATGATTGACGTAACTCTTCCAATATTTTTCAACACTTAGAGAAAAGCGCGATTCAAGAAAAGAAAAAAAAAAGTAAATTCAGTGTTTGATAATGTACAACAATATTTCCACAGTACGCCTGTCTTCTTCAAGTTAACTTGGACATTGACAAACACTATATTTTCATTTCTTTTTCTTCTCTTTAATTTAATCGTGTTTTTCTCTAAGTGTTTTTATTATTATTATTATTATTATTATATCTTTTGATTTTTGCTGTATAAACATTTCCACCCGGGTCCTAACCAGAGACCTAAGGTCAGAAATGACTGCATGACATTTTCTACTGATCATTTTTGTAAAAAAACAACAAAAACAGAAACTAATACTACGCACATTTTCATAGATAAAGCTTTTCGTAATGTTTGAGCTGTACTTGTGATTACAATTTTTTTTTTAATTTTTTAAGGCATGGGCTGCCAGGAATCCCTTAATCGAGTCTATCGGAACCTTATCCAATTAATTCGTGGGCTCCAACTACATCCGGAATTACTGATATCCTCATGTTCCATATTTTTGAAATTTCTACATCACAATCTCAGTATTTTGATAGTTTTTTTTTTTTAAGATCATATACGATACCTTTCAATTTATTATTATTATTATTAATAATAATAATAATAATAATAATTTATTTCCTTTGGTTTCTGGTGTATACGCATTTGTTTTCGGGTCCCGACCAGAGACCTAAGGTCAAGAATTGCATCATGACATTTTGCACTGAGCAATTTTGAAAAAAAATCGCACATATTTTACAGACATAAAGCCCTTCGTAAGGTGTAGGCTGTACTTCTTCTTCTTCTTCTTATTATTATTATTAGTGGTAGTAGTAGTAGTTCTTTTTTTTCAGCTATTTCTAAGATAAGAACTTAATATCTAGTAATTAAAGGATAGATAGCAGGCCTCAGCCGGCAGCCTTAGATATGCAATTTTCTTCTAACTCTAAGTGTTCATTATTTCACGGGTTATACCTGCTGCGCTTAAGAGACTCTCCTTCTTTAACAGTGTCACTGTGCAATCAAAATCATTTTTCTTTATTATTATTATTATTATCATTATTATTATTATTATTAATAATAATAATAATTTATTTCCTCTGATTTCTTGTGTGTACTCAGAAATGGCAGCATTACAATAAAAAAAACATATGTTACATACATAAAGCCCTTCGTAACCAGTGATCTAAGGTCAGAAATGGCATCATGATATTTTCTACTGATCATTTTTGTAAATAAAATGAAAAAATAAGAGCATGCACATTTTACATAAAGATTTTGGTAATGTGTAAGCTGTACTTGTAAGTACAATTTATTATTATTATTATTATTATTATTGTTGTTGTTGTTGTTGTTGTTTCCAGTTTTACGTATTTTCTTTGATACAATTCTTTACCATTCCTTTTGAACCTGAGATCTGATGCAAAAGAAATTTTCTTAGAATTGTATTGAGAATATTACATTGCGTTTTTGTATGTGAGTGGTGCTTAGAAGTACCATCTTTTGTATCCATGATAGCAGTGCTTTATTTGGGTATCTTTCATTGGTGCGCGAATTATCAAAGCAGCGATTAGCGAGAAAGCGAGATTTCTTGGCCAAAATGGAATTTCTCCCACTATATTCAGTGACGAATTTTCGCTTTGTGGCGAACACGTGGTTTTGAAACTGCTAGGTTAGAAAGCCTCCCTCATTCACGTTTCCCTTAGACCAGTAATTAGCATGTATCTTGATATGACTCCCAAGTCTCTTTGGCTATCTCATGCTTCCAACTTAAAAAATAAAACACATTCTTGGCACTTAGCCAGGATGCTTTCCAGCTATAATGATTTAAGTAAAAATTCTGAAAGAAATTGATATAAAACTAAGAGGACACTTTAATCATTTCTTTATCTTTTTTATGTGCCGTGTCCTTTCAGGACGTAGGCGATTATGGCTCACCACTTCCTCCTATCCCTTGTGGCTCTCAATAAGTTTCGTGCCTTGGCCAATTCTTCCTACACCACGTTCTACCATCCACTTGCTTAAGCCCGCCAGGTATATCATGCATTGCTTTCCCTTGTCTCTTTCTCCCTGTATTCGACCCGTGAGTATCAGATTCTCCAGACCCTCCGTTCTCATTACATGTCCCAGATATTTCATCTGCCTCTTCCTTATGTTAATTAAAAGCGTCCTCCTTGTTTGCAACCTTTAGCCAAGACCTCATCGTTGCTCACACGCTCGGTCCATGATATCCTTAGCACCTTTCTGTAGAACCACATCTCCTTCGCCTCGAGTCTCTTCTTCATCTTTGAGGAGACCGTCCAACATTCACAGCCGTGTAGTAGGGCAGATGTCACGTAACAGCTCAGTACTGTTTTCTTTGTCACTAAAGAAATCCTCCTGTCTCGCAGTACTCAGCTTTTGGAATGCATCGTTGTCCATCCCAATCCGTCTTCGGATCTAAGCGTCGCACCTACTGTCCTCCGTCAAAACACTTCCCAGATATTTAAACTTCCGCGCCCGCTTGATTCTAGCACCCCCGACCTGCAAATCGAATTTCGGGCTCATCCTTTTACTGTCTGCGCAAATATTATTATAATATATTAGAACACAAATGGTTTATTCTAAAATTGAGCAATATTTTCCGTACAACCTAATATAATTTTATGGTCTTTTGTATTAGGCGCTGGGTACGTATAGTGAAGTCCCGATTAAATGAAACATTTTATCCTTCTAACGCCAATAATTTATCACAATTTTCTGCATGATTTTCGCATATATTCCAATACAAATATTTTCATCAGCTCTCATGCCAAAATCTTTATTTATTTTAGGCTATAATAGAGCATCCATGTGATATATAGTCAACAACTCTTTTGAAATTAGTACAAAAAGCAACGTTTGTGATCTCTCTAATCCATAATTATTATGGAGTGGGCGTGTATTAGAAGAACAAATTGACACTTGGGTACATGTATACGAAGCCCAATATAAGCATCATGACACCCAGACTGATAAGGGTATATCAGGCACATGCATCACAGCCAAATGCTAATAATAATTATTATTATTATCATTATTATTTAGTGAGAGCGCCTCATTCCAACAAAGTGACGCAGGGGTACAGAGCAAAATATACCCATCATAACACACAGTCTAATAAGGGTATACCAGGCACGTGCAGCACAGACACATGTTTATTATTATTATTATTATTATTATTATTATTATTATTGTTATTATTATTATTATTGTTAAAGTGAAAGGGTAACATGTCAAAAAGTAATGCTGGAAAAAGGATGAAATTCAAAATACCAATTATGAGACCCAGTCTTTTAATGGTATACAAGACACATGCATCACAGCCAAAGTTTTGCGATACTATAACACTTTTTCATAAAATCAATGCATAAACTTGCAGGCGGGACTCAAGATGACATTCCGTTACCCAGTCCGCTTAATCTGTCTCCGATTGAGAGGGTCCCCATGTACCTCAGTGTTACTCCTAAGTCTCTTTGACTACCTCGTCCTTCAAACCAAAAAAAAAAAAAGAAAAGATTCTTGATGCCTGGCCAGGATGCTTTCTTGCTACACCCATCTTCAGAGATGCACATGGCGTTACACTCGAGGGCACATAGCCAACTGGTTTTAGTCAGGCATACAAACAAACCTGTTGTACTGAACGGAATATTTATTGTAGCTTATCTTAATTTACCAAAACAAAACATATAGATGTTTACTCATCGAATCAATTAAGAGCAGAAGTCATGAGTGCCATACCTGGAGGAGCATCAGTGTTGTGGTAGGATCCACCTAATTTGCATAGTGGAGTACCGACCACATAAATATGGTTGGTACCGGGAAGACGAGGGGAGGAATCAAGAGATTCAATCCAGAGACTCTGCCCGACTGCGACTAAGTCAACACATTCTCCAGGAACGGTCTTACCAGGAATATACAAAAGACTATATGTAAATATTGTGTACATTTCTTGTTTCAATACATTTTGTTCTAAGTACATTTTGTGTTGTATTATTATTCCATGCATTAGTCAAGTTTCAACAATCAGGGAATTTATTATTATTATTATTATTATTATTACGCTTACCTCCGTATCACGTTGAAATACCAGATCCGGTCAGATTACCGAAATTAACCTACGCCGAGCCCGGTCAGTGATTAGATAGGTGACTGCTTGGGAATACCCGATTCTGTAAGCTTAGTTGTGTGATGTTCGGGTGGTGCAATGGATGATGTTTCAGGGTGCGAAATCGGAAAACCGAGTTCAAATTTCACTTGTGTTCATTATATTCACTTACGCGCAAAATTTACACATCGTCGATTATGAATCGAAAAGTGATATGATCACCCAAGCGTGTCACACCCGGCCCTACTGCTATTTATCGATCCTCCCACGGGAATTGAATGTGGCACAAGGCCGAGATTAATGTGGGTCTTCCGAGCCCGTAGGCTCGGCCAAAAATATAGCCTCTCTCCTAATGCAGAGAGTTCGACAGACGGTGCTGACAGTCAAGGACTGTCTGCCACTGTAACTTAATACACCTACCAACATGCATTGGGTCAGCGTGGTAGATTAATAGCCTTTCCCCTTCCTCATGGATCTGAGGAAGACCCACAAGGGACCTTCACAAGAAGAAAGGAAGTGTTTTGTCATCGTAAGATTATGGTTGATAAAATCAACTCTAACCTCCAGCACCTTCCTAGACATCTTTGCAAACACAAACCAAGTCGCTTGTATAGTATTATGTTGAAACTAAAATTCATACATTGAAAAACTTCAGCCTTTTCAGTACAGTTACAAGTAGACAAAGTTATATGGACATGACACTTGGTCATTCACAGCTTGGTTCCCGGGAAAGGTCATGATACTGTCCCGTTTTCATTTTCTTTTATTGATTACACTAATAGCATCCCAAGTGTGCGGATACTTGGCGAGTCAGTTAGAAAGCCGATCAATAGACTTTGCCTACATACTCATGTATACACTAGACCAATGATTACATATTGATTCAAACATAAAACTGATCAGTGTTTACTTATAGACTCAAATATAAAACCGACTGATGTTTACCCATAGGCTGAAACATAAACCCGTCTGTTGACCTATAGACTCAAACATAAACCCGACTCTTGAACTACAGACTCAAAAATAAACCCCACTCTTGAACTATAGACTCAAACATTAACCCGTCTGTTGACCTATAGACTCAAACATAAACCCGACTCTTGAACTACAGACTCAAACATAAACCCCACTCTTGAACTATAGACTCAAAGGTAAATCCAACTCTTGAACTATATATTCAAAAATAAACCCAACCTTTGAACTACAGACTCAAACATAAATCCGACACTTGACCTAGAGACTCAAATATAAACGCGACAGTTGACATATAGATTCGAATATAAACGTGAGTAATATTTACCCATAGACTCAAACATAAACCCGACCTTGACCTATATACTCAAACATAAACTCGGCCCTTTACCTATAGGCTCAAACATAAACCCGAATCTTGACCTATAGACTCAAACATAAATCCGACTCCTGAAATATACTCAAACATAAATCTGACTCTTGACCTATAGACTAAAACATAAATCCGACCCTTGATCTATAGACTCAAACACAAATCCGACTCTTGGCATATAGACGCAAACATAAACTCGACTCTTGAGCTAGAGACTCAAATATAAACACGACAGTTGACATATAGATTCTTATATAAATCTGAGTGATATTTACTCATAGACTCAGATATAAACCCGACTCTTGACCTATAGCCTCAAATATAAACGCGATTGTTGACCTATTTATTCAAATATAAACCCTACTGATGTTTACCTATAGACTCAAATATAATTTCGGCCAAGATCTATCTATAGTTTAAAGGTTTTTAGAAACAAATTCACAAGTTTTGATATGTCGGAAAATCCAACATACCCACCCATTTTATGACGGTTGATAATGATGTGGGGGTATGACTGAAAACTTACCTAAAAAACACCTCTCTAACTCTTGCCGAAGAATCCTCGCTCTTTCTTTTTCTTTCTCGCTCTCTCTCTCTCTCTCTCTCTCTCTCTCTCTCTCTCTCTCTCTCGTCTCTCGTCTCTATCAGACTCTGAGAATTCAGTATATAAACAATCATGGCTCTCTACAGTTCCCTATTTTAGTTGTTCTATCTTTTTTTTTCTGTGTGTAGTTATTCCTTAAACCATTACTTGATATTTTCTACTTCTTTCGCATTTAATGTATCAGGCGAGTGTTAAATTCGCCAAGTCATCTTTCCTCATTATGCGTGGCCAACATTACAGCTGTTGCTTTCTGATTGGTCTATACAGTTTGTTGTAAATACTCTTCTTCTCAGACATTACCCATCATGCCCTGTCCATGATATT